ACAACAAACTGTAATCTAACACTGACAGCAGAGGTGGGGTGGAACTCTCAACCTGTCCTGGAGAATGGGGATGGGGTGGGTGACAGACCAACCTCCCAGAGGAGCTGCTAGCATTCAGCAGCGGACAGGAGATGCACAAAGGCTGACCTGAGGTGGGAGCAGGGCAACAGGTCAACCCCTCAAAGTGGGGCAAGGGATGGGTCCTGGAGCTGATCTCTTGGGACAGAGGGCAGCAATCAAAACTAAACTGCCCACCTTGCTGGGGAAGCGCTGACCAAACAGTTGCAGCTGAAGGGCAACTCAGCTACCACCTGGTGAAAAACAACAACTCTGACCACCCTGCACAAACTGGCAGACTCACATCATCTCCCAATTGCAACTAACCCTGTAGAAAGAAGGAACAAAGTACTACTCACAGGCCAGTCACCTGGTGAGACCACATCAGAGGTCCTGCTTGGATGCCAATAAACAGGACTGGATGCTTAAGGACTAACTCCAGAACTTTTACCAAAAAACTAAACTTTTTGTTGTTCCTGTACTTTGTGTTTTATGTTGTGCTTTTTTTTTTTGTGGGTTTTTTTTTTCTGTATCATTAATTTCACCATCACTAATTTCTTTTCCCATTCTTACCCCCACTTTCCCTCCTTTTCCTGTGTTACAACCCATTGTTCTCCCTCTGAACTACTCTTTCTACCCCTTTTCATTCATTCTCTCCTCTTGTCTTCACCGCCTCCTGTTATCCCCCCTTAACCTGTCATCACACTATCCTCCCTTCCTACACATTCACTATCTCCTGACTACCTACTGTACCAACTATACACAACACCAGCCCCCTGCAATCCCCTGACACAAGCACCCTCTACTACAACAGAAATACACCAAACACACACAAGGGCCACAAAACCCAGTAGCCACCCATGCCTCCTGCCCCACCCACCCACCCCTTTTCCCACACCCCTCCTTTTAGTGCTACCGTTACCAATTTCCCAAATTTCTATATCTAGTTTAATAACCATTACCTCCCCAACTCCCACTGTTTTTATCACCAAGAGGTTTCCTATATCATATGTAAACAACTGGTCTGGCATTGAACCTGTGAATTTGTTATTTCTAAATTACACCTCCAGGCCAGAGACAAAAAGAGCACATCAACCTAGCTAACAACCAAGTCAGTCACAACACAAAAACTAAATCAAGGGAAAGAAAACAGGCAATCAATGCCATCAACTATCCTACTAAGAACATAGTTGCACAGCACCAAGTGGAGCGATGGGAAGAAGAAAAAGGAATGGAAATCACTCTCCTCAAAAAAAAAATAATTCAGTATAGGACTCAGTGTGAAATGAAGAAAATGGATAGCCAGTTCCTGACCCCAACAAAACAATGATAAATGTCACTAAGGAGTCTGGTGACATGCATAAAAAAAAACATCAAGGAAGAAATCTTGGAAGAACTCTCTGAGAAATCCATGAGAAGATACCAGACATGGTTAACCAGAATGTACAAGATGTACTCAAGAAATTTCAAGACACCAAAAATGAAGAACATGAAAAGGCACAGAAACAAATAAATGAACTCAGAGAGGACTTCAACAAACACCAAAGTGAAACAAAGAACACTATAGAGAGAGAGATATACGAATTAAAGAAGACAACACAAAATATAAAAGAGGAGTTGAACAAAGATATGGAAAACCCCAGAAAAAAGAATTAAACAGAAATCTTGGAAATAAAAAGTCCCTTTAGTCAAACAAAAAAACACATTGGAAGGCCACTCCGGCAGACTAGAACAAGTGGAAGACAGAATCTCAGCGCTCAAGGATAAAATACAAATTAAAAAGAAAACAACTCAAGAGCTCCCACAAAAAAAATATGCAAGAACTCAGTGACTCCATCAAAAGACCAAACCTGAGATTATGGGCATTGAAGGAGAAGAGGTGCAAGCCAAAGAGATACATAATATATTCAATAAAAAAAATTAACAGAAAATACTCAAATCTTGAGAAAGTTTTACCCTTTCAGGTACAGGAAGCCTTCAGAACACCAGAGACCTGACCAAAACAGAACCTCCCCATGGCATACTGTCATTAAAACAACAAAAACAACTAAATGGCAGGAATCACCACATATCTATCAATATTAACACTGAATGTCAATGGACTCAACGTCCCTATCGAAAGGCACTGTTTGGCAAACTGAATTAAAAAGGAAGATCTGACAATCTGTTGTTTACAGGAGACCCATCTCATTGACAGAAATAAGCACTGACTTAGGGTGAAAGGCTGGAAGATTTACCAAGTCAATGTCCCCCAAAAGAGGCAGGATTAGCAATACTTATAACAAAGTAGACTTCAAACTAACACTAGTCAAACATGATAAAGGAGGATACTTCATACTAATAAGAAGGGCAATACATCAAAAAGGAAATAACAACAATCAAGCTATATGCACCCAAATGTCAGCATAACCAGTTTCATTAAACATACACTATGGACTTAAAAGCACATATAGACTCCAACACAGTGGTAGTGTGAGACTTTAGTAGCCCTCTATCACCAATAGATAGATTATCCAAACAAAAAATCAACAAAGAAATATTAAAACTAAATGACACCATAGATCAAATGGACCTCACTGATGTCTACAGAATATTTCATCTAATAACAGCACAATACACATTTTTCTCAGCAGCTCACAGAACTTTCTCCAAAATAGATCATATCTTAGGGCACAAAGCAAGTCTCAGTAAATACAAGAAAACACAGGTAACCCTCTGCACTTTATCTAATCACAATGCATTAAAACTAGAACTCAACAACAAAAACAACAACAAAAAATACACAAATAATTGGAGGCTGAATAACACATTGTTCAACCATCTGTGGGTCACAGAAGAAATAAGAGAGGAAATAAAGTTTCCTGGAAGTTTATGAAAATGAAAATACCACCTACCAAAACTTATGGGACACAGCAAAGGCAGTCCTAAGAGAAAAGTTTATATCCATAAGTGCAAATATTAAAGGAACAGAAAGATCTCAAATAAATGACCTAATACTACATCTGAAACTCCTAGAAAAACAAGAACAAGTAAAACCCACAACAAGCAGAAGGAAAGAAATAATAAAAATAGGGGCCAAAATTAACAAAATAGAGAACAAAAAACCCATACAAAGAATCAATGAAACAAAAAGCTAGATATTTGAAAAACCCCTGGCAAACCTTATTAAAATGAGGGAAAAGACCCAAAAAAATCAGAAATGAAAAAGGTGAGATAACAACAAACACTAAGTAAATCCAAGGAATCATCAAAGACTACTCTGAGAACCTATATTCCAATAAATTGGAAAATCTTGATGAAATGGACAAGTTTCTAGATACTATGACCATTCAAAACTGAACCAACAGGACATTAACCACTAAACAGATCTATAACATGTAATGAAATTGAAGCAGCAATAAAGAGTCTCCTAAAAAAGAAAAGTCCAGGAACTGACAGATTCTCCACTGAATTCTACCAGACCTTTAAAGAAGAACTAAAACCAACACTCCTTAAAATTTTCCATGAGTAGAAAGAGAAGGAACACTGCCCTAGCTCATTCTATGAAGCCAGTATTACACTCATCCCAAAACCAGACAAGGACACATCCAGAAAGGAGAACTACAGGCTTTAATGAACTCTTTAATGAACTTTTTAATGAACTCTTTAATGAACACTGATGCAAAAATCCTCAATAAAATAATGGCAAACTGAATCCAACAACATATCAGAAAGATCATTCACCGTGACCCAGTCGGCTTCATCCCAGGGATGAAGGGATGGTTCAACATACACAAATCTATAAATGTAATATAGCACATTAAAAGAAGCAAAGACAAAAAACCACTCAATCATCTCAATACATGCAGAAAAAGCCTTTGATAAGACTCAACACCACTTCATGATAAAAGCTCTAAGAAAACTAGGAATAGAAGGAATGTACCTCAACATTATAAAGGCTATATGTGGGTTGCAATACACACATGCATGGATTAGATTATTAGAGTGCCTACCTCCCAGGATTTAAGGCTAAATGGAGTCACACACCACCACATGGAGGATGTGTGCAGAAACTAGGCAGTTCGTGGGATCTGAAGCGTTAAGTCTGGGAATCTTCCTTCTGTTACAAGAGCATCACAGTGACTCAGTTATCAGCAGCCCAGTTTCTGTACCTCTCTTAGTTCCAATTCCTTCTTGTGTATGTCTAAACTGAATATTACTAATATAAATTGGAATATGAATTTTCCAAAAACTATGAATATCACCTCCCTTCCTCCCTCTCTTTCATTTCCCTCCCTATCTTCAGTACTTAGGATTGAACACAGAGCCTAATGATTGCCAGGCAAGTATTCTACAACTTGAGCCACACTTCCAGTCATTATGGTTTTAGTTTGTATTTCAGATAAAGTTTAGTGCTAACGTTGCCCTGGCTGATCTTGGCCTCAAATCACATCTTCCTATCTCTGCTTTCCATGGAGCTGAGAGTGTAGGCATGTGCTACCATGCCCAGTCCATGAACATCATCTTATTTCATCTGTCTCACTCTCAAACTGATTTCAACTTCTAACTCCTGTTTGTGCATATTCAACCACAATTATTCTCCTACTGAAGTTTTTAAAACCAGCTAAGCAAATATTTCTACATTTGATTCTTCAAAAGCACCTAATGATTTTTTTCTTAATGACATATACTCACCCATATACTTTAAATGTATTTAACTAATTTTATAGCTAGGAAAGTCAACACACCTCAAATCAGCTTTGGATTACTCCAAAGTGAATTTGATATTTTAGCTCCTTTTGTTATTGATGAATTCTCATTTCTATTTCTTGAAAGAAGTTCAAACCCCAGTACCACAACAAAAAAGGATTAAGATATCTGATATGTGCTACTGAATTAAAAACCTGTTTTAAAATGAAATATTCCAATAATAACTCCTTTTTGAAAAATCACTGTTCTCTCACCAGAATTCATAAGTTTCCAAAGTTGATCTACCAGGGCTTCATTGCACAAGGGAGACTCCATGTTCTTTGTAAATGGAGGGTTCTTAGTCAACATGTTTAGAATCTTATGCCTGAAAGAGCAAAAAATAAAGAAATTCTTGCTGAGCCTTTACTGACTGGTGGCAACATGCGAAAATTATCTGTACTTCCTATTTTATCATTTTCCAATAGGTCTAATTTTGTGCTTAATTTAAAAAGAAATTATGTTATGCCCCAAATATTTACTACTTACTTTTTCATTAAAAAATTCCAGTGGGTATGCCTTGTCTAAATCACTTTACTGTGTAATAAGGTCTCCTTAAACTTGACTACACACCATAACCAATCTTTCCCATCCTATGGTGGAAAATACACAGCTCATGTTTTGTTTTTGTTTTTAAAACATGTACAAAAACCCTGGCCAATTAAGTATAAAAATATGTATCTTTGTAGAGCATGGAAATGGGCAGAAGTACATTGTAATAAAGCCTATAAAGAATTTTCTTCAAAATAGGCTGAGGTTGAGAAGAATCAATTAAAAGTATCCTTCTAGGTGTACCTGTTAAACTTCACTACCAGGTGTTTTTAATCTCATAATAGGTCACCTGTTTTTCATTCAAAATTTCTTCAAAACCATGAAGAAAACAAAATTTGAAAATAAAAAATATCTGATGCTATGAACAGAAGGCATCATAAAAATTGCAGGAAAGGAAAGGAAAGAAGGGTATGGCAGTAGCTTAACATTTAGTGAAGAGATAAATGAAACTAGTATCAAGTATGAGAAATTTAGTACTCTACAGAAATTAGAGTTCTTGACTATAAGTGAGTAGGAGAGAAACTGACATAATTTTTAGGGACAGGAAAACTTTGAAAAAGATGAATCTGAGACTTTTTTTTTTTTTTTTTTTTTTTGCAGTACTAGGGTTTAAACTCAGTGTTTACACCTTGAGCCACCCTGCTAGCCCTTTTTGTGATGGGTTTTTTTGAGATAGGGTCTCTCGGACTATTTGACCAGACTGGATTCAAACCATGATCCTCCTGATCTCTGCCACCTGAGTAGACAGGATTACAGGCAAGAGCCACTGGTGGGTGCTCAGCCTGAGACATTTTTACATTTAACAATTGGTGGCAAGACATCAAATTAGATTTGTAATTGAGAAGGATATAAGAGGAAATATGATTGGCTAAGTAATTTGTCATTTAAGGGCTTTTGGTTGTAACTTCATGGTTGTAAAACTGAAAGAGATGAATTCTGTTAACATTCTTTTGTGCTGTGAAATTAAAGACTGCATGAAATAAGACTACTAAAGGCTGTAAGAACAAAAAAGCAAAATGTGGTTATAGATGCAATTTATAGACAGGTAATACAGAAGAGAATACAAATCTTTACAGATATTTTATAAACTCATTTTCATTTTTAAAACACAATTCCTGGGCTGGTGGAGTGGCTCTAGTGGTAGAATGCCTGCCTAGCAAGCACAAAGCCCTGAGTTCAAACTCCAGTACCAGCAAAAAATAATAAAAACAATTCTTGCCCTTCAAGATCTCTTACTCTACAAGAGATCAGTAGTATGGATATATAGGATCTTTTAAAATATGGGTGAATTTTTCTGTTTGCTTTTGCAGACAGGGTCTCACTATGTTGCCCATGTTGGTCTCAAACTCCAGTTTAAGTGCCTTAGCTTTCTGAGGGCTGGGGAGTTTGATCAGTGAAGCATGTTAACAGCATTATACTTTTAATTTGTACTAAGAAGGAAAGTAAGTTTCTGTAGAGCTGCTTTCCAAATTAGCCTAAAAGTGAAGTAAAGACCAAGTATAAAACCTTATGATATTTACTCAGATCATTACAAACTCTTTATAATCATGCACATAAATTATAAAGGGTGCTCTGGTGTTATCCTTAAAATTACTAGTAAAAGAGCAGTGAGGATTAGTACAAATATAATTTTTAGCAAATTAAATTTGTTTCTCTTTAAAGTTTAGGTGGTAGAAGAAAGATTTTTTATAAGGATATATATATATATATATACACACACCATTACAGATAAAAAATAATACTCAAAAGAGGTAAGAGAAGATAATGAAAATCCTATGTTTAATTTTTCACAGATTAAATGTCAAGATTCACAAGTAAATCCTTCACATATCTGGAACAGAACTGAAGCAAACCTCAAGAAAGTCACAGGTTTGATAGCACCAAAAACATCATTATTATTTGCCTGACAAATTGAGGACTTTTTTGGTGGGACAATCCAATTGCACTGTCAATTACTATTAAGAAAGAATTGAATCAAAACAAATAAAAAACCCAGTCCAAACCATTTAATATTTTTGCAGGAGAAAAGGCATAGAATATAAATATATGTTCCCACAAGGAAAAGGCACAATGGATCATGAGCATGCTCAATTATAAAATGAGAGGATAATTCCATGGTATCTTTAAATTAATCCAATACCATATAAGAAAATACAACTCGTGGTTCTTCTTATCAATGTAAAAGTATATACATACATATAAACAACCAGAAAGCGACAAATTAAAATGTGTAACAACACTTATTTCTGGATATAGTGACTACAAGTTTTTGTAGAGTAAATTCTATTTTTCATTCATTCATTGAAACAAAACTTTGTAATTTCCAAAATGGTAAATTTTGGTTTGAAAACAACAGGCACAGATTTAAAGATTTATTTAAAACTATGCATCTATACAGAGGGGGTGAATTTGACCAAAGTACATTATATGCACATATGGAAATATCACAATGAATATAATTACAATTATACAATTAATATAAAAAAGAATATTGTAAGAACGCTTGTAAATGACACTATTTACCCTCATTACAACAACAAAATTTTTTTAAAAGATAAAAAAAGAAATTGCTCTGAAAAAATAAATAAAAATCATGCATCTTATTTTTTTGTTCTTAACAGACATGTAAAATCAACAGCAAACTTCATGGAAAGGGAGAAGTGGTAGAAATTTGTCAAATTAATATACAGGTCAACCAAAATGTATTTAATTAGCTTGAAACCATATATATTGTTTGTTTGTTTGTTTGTTTGTTTTTGTTTGTGGTACTGGGGATTGCAGTCAAGGCTTCACACTTACTAGGCAGGAGCTCTACCATTTGAGCCACATTTCCAGCCCAAAATTCATAAATCAGGAACTATGAAATCTTAAAAGCAAAACATACCAGGAATACTTTTATAACAAGCATTACTTAAAACACTGAAATATTAGGTCACTTAACCAAGAATTCACTATCACAAACATCCTCAAAATCTACTGCTGGTAAAATACCAAGCTCTCCAGTGGATTTATCACTCCTAGATGCTTTCAGTGAGGTTGGAAGGCAGAGTTCATGTCATATTAGAAGAACAATATCTAACAACTGATGTGTAAAGTTGAGTAAGACAATTAAGGCCTCTGGGTCTATGTCCTTGTTTCTAATTGGAATGACTACAAGTAATGAAACTTCAAAATCCTGTTCTAGGTAGTCATAAAATTAAAACAAATAGAATTATGACTGATTACTATGTACAAAGAAAGGAAGACACAAAAATGGGTCTTTTTTGTAAAAGAAAGCAGCAAAAATGAAGGGAGTGACTAAAAAGCGATACAAAAATGAAAGAGGTTGCAACATCAGAATTGGGATTCTTTTATTTTCAAAATTCTTAATAATGAAGTATTCCCTGTTTTCAAAAATCCCAAGTATAATAAAAACTAAAACTTTATGAGACAGAAAGGAGTAAGTGGAGTGACCTAAAACATTGCTCTTAATTATTTTCAAAATGAAGAAACCCATTAACACAGAAGTTGGGACACATAAGGGGCTACCCATGTTCACTTCAAACTGTTATGTAAGCCTTTAAGTTAAAACAGAAAAATCATATCCAAAATTACATGGAATAAACTTTGTTTACTAACTGTGCATTTTAAAAATGCTTTTCAAAAATCAAATTTTAAAAATCAAATAAGATACAGATAAATACATTAACATATTCTCATATTTTCAAAAATCATAAACTGTATACTCTTCGAAGACTTATTCAATTCACTTGAGAACTTACTAAAGCAAAGTATTACAGTTCATAAACTAACCTTACATAGGGTACAGGATCATCCTGAATCATATTAAGCAGCCACTGCAGTTCTTCATAACTCCTGTCCACTGAAAATAAAAACGAGGAAATAAATTTATCAATTATAAAATATTACCTAACAAATAAAAAGTGGTAAGTAGAGAGTTTTCAATTTTTTTTTTTTTACCTTTTTTATGTATTGGACCATTTTGTAACCTTCCAAAGAATCATGCATATATAATGAAGACATAAAATAGTACCAATGTACATATTTTTTTTCACTAAAGTTCAAGCCAATAGCACACACAACGTAAAGCAAACTAATTAAGAGCCCTAAATTAGAAAAAAAATTAATTAGGTAAAATCTGTCCAATTATTTCTAAATGACTAAAATCCAATGTTATCTCAACTGTATTATACAGTAAGACAGTTGTTCTTGACATATGATTTTTTCCTTATGACTAAAGGGCAGTCTTAATTTTTCAATGTAATATAAAAGCAATTACAAAAATAGTGCTATGAATATACTTGACATAAAATGACTCACTAGCTAGTTTCCATTTGTCTCTTCAGTATGTTTTGATTTTATAAGTGGAAAAGCTTTATTCTTAAAATTTTTATTCCCAATAGTTCTCATTTCTTTCGTTTTCTAATTTGAGCACCAGTATTTCACATTACTGGTTAACAACAATGAAGTCTGGTTTCGTGCTTCATGTTTAAACAGCACTCAATTAAATTATACTTATTAGTTTAGCATTTATTTGGAAACTATAACATGAGTATTCTGTCTTATTGCAGGTAGTACTATTTCATGAATTCTTCCTCATATTCATGAGACACTCACTCATACATCTTAGGAAAGAAGGCTGGGAATACTACCAAATTTAATGGACCTTAAGATCAAGACTTGTAGTTTTCAAATTGGTATGACTTCAATATAGAAATGGAGACTGATACAGGATCACTTATTCTTTCCAAAGAATTAATTTAATAACAACAAATTACTATTTACACCAACATTTCTTAAATGCAAGGATACTTTAGACACTAAAGAGAAAAAAAATGACAGTCTTCTGAACTGAGGCCAACATGTTTTACATATGCATATATATATATATATATATACAAAATATATGCAACGTAGACGTAACATTGCCCCCTTTCTTTACTTTCTGACTACATTTCTACTGAAATGTGTTAAAAGTACAAAGAGTTAAATATAAGTAGAATTAACTTCTTTACTCTTCCCATATTTTAGTGCTATAATCTGCAATTTGAGATGTAGACTACATTTACATATTTCCTTTACTTGCATAGTAATTTTAAAGAATTATATTTGAAATATACATTAAATTTTATAAGCAGCTTAACACATGTTTAAGCTTAACTCTTTATATGAGCAGTTATCACTAGTTCTTTCACTGTACACATTCACCAATCTTGTGTTATTTTGATTCACCTCTAGTTCAGATGAAAATTATGTTTGGGAGTTTTATTTTTAAGAATGTTAAAGGGCTGGAGGTATGACTCAAGCAGTAAAGTGCCTGCCTAGGAAGTGTAAAGACCTGGGTTCAAACTCCAGTGTTGCCAAAATGAATAATTCATATTAAAAACATTTTGAGAAACTCAGCATGAGAAAGATAAAGAAGTGAAGATGTTAAAAAGTCATGAAAAATAAAAACAAGTTGTAAGCAAAATAATAATCCAAGAAATAACAGAATACTCTAATAGGGTATAAATTAAATTGACCTAAGCTAAATTCTGCTGAAACTTTAATTTTTCACTTTAAGAAAAAATGTGTAAGTTCCTAGGAATATCAGAAATACATTCAAAAGACGGTGAACAAAATGGCTATGTAATTTCTAAGGGCAGTTATCTAAGATTCTCTACCTGATGACTTTGTCACTGATACAGTCTTGGAGAGTCAGAATGCTTGCTAGGCAGGTGCCCTACCACTTGAGCCACACCCCCAGTCCTATTTGCTTTAGTTATTTTTTGAACAGTCTCACGTTGTTGCCCAGGCTGACAGTGGACTGTGATCCTATTTACACCTCCAGCTTAGCTGGGATGACAGGCACACACCATCACACCTAGCTTTATTGGTTGAGAGGGAACCTTTCTACCTCCTTTTCTCCCCATCTCCGGCCCACTAGCACTAAACACTATTTTCCATCCTCTGCCTTTTCAGTACCTGGCTGTACTGGTGTGTGCCAAAACATAGCCATATGCATTATTCTTTCATTCATTTTTTGGTCTGCCTTATGTCTTTTTTAACAAATTCATGAAGCCCTGCTAAGTTTCTCTACTGGAGTTACTGTTTATGGTCTCCTGCTCGATTTTCAGATACAAACTTTGACACAGATGTAAATAAGGTATTTTCTTGAATTCTTAGACATTTGTAAAAGTTCTCTTATTTTTAAAAATAACTTGTATGTATAGGACTAACAAAATGAAACCCCCTTTTGCAAGTTATATGTGCTAATTTTTAAAAAAGTCAAAATATAATACGCAATTTAATCTACAGAATACCATGACTTCTCTAAAAGTTCAAAGATATCTATAATTTAATTGTTTCCCTCATTTACTCTTACATGAATCTTACATTTACAAAAAATTCTTTCCAAATTCAGTAGGTCAAGAATTTACAATTAAAATTATCTTAGTAAACACCAACAATCAAGACTGTCTTTAAAAAGCATTTCTTTCAGATAGCATAGATAAATGGACTTCATAAAACTAAAAAGCTTCTGCTCAACAAAAGAAATGGTCTCTAAACTGAAGAGACCACCCACAGAGTGGGAGAAAATATTTGCCAGCTACACATCAGACAAAGGACTGATAACCAGAATAGATAGGGAAGTCAAAAAACTAAATTCTCCCAAAACTAATGAACCAATAAAGAAATGGGCAAGTGAACTAAACAGAACTTTCTCAAAAGAAGAAATTCAAATGGCCAAAAAACACATGAAAAAATGCTCACCATCTCTAGCAATAAAGGAAATGCAAATTAAAACCACACTAAGATTCCACCTCACCTCCATTAGAATAGCCATCATTAGCAACACCACTAACAATAGGTGTTGGCAAGGATGTGGGGAAAAAGGAACCCTCTTACACTGCTGGTGGGAATGGAAACTAGTACAACCACTCTGGAAAAAAATTTGGAGGCTTCTTAAAAACCTAAACATTGATCTACCATTATGATCCAGCAATACCACTCTTGGGGATATACCCAAAAGACTGTGACACAGGTTACTCCAGAGGCACCTGCACACCCATGTTTATTGCAGCACTATTCACAATAGCCAAGTTATGGAAACAGCCAAGATGCCCCATTACTGACGAATGGATTAAGAAAATTTGGTTATTTATACACAATGGAATTCTATGCAGCCATGAAGAAGAATGAAATGTTATCATTTGCAGGTAAATGGATGGAACTGAAGAACATCATTCTGAGTGAGGTTAGCCTGGCCCAAAAGACCAAAAATCATATGTTCTCCCTCATATGTGGACATCAGATCAAGGGCAAACACAACAAGAGGATTGGACTTTGATCACATGATAAAACACCCAAAAAACTAGATAGCATTTGTTGCCCTCAATGCAGAGAAACTAAAGCAGACACTTTAAAGCAACCTAAGGCCAATAGGAGAAGGGGACCAGGTTAGTTCGAGAAGAATTAACTTAGAAGGTAACACACATGTACAGGAAAACAATGCGAGTCAATTCTCTGTATAGCTATCCTTATCTCAACAAGAAAAAACCCTTGCTCCTTCCTATTATTGCTTATACTCTCTCTCCAACAAAACTAGAGATAAGGGTAAAATAGTTTCTGCCTGGTAGCAAGGGATTGAGGGAGTAAGGGAGGGAGTGGGGGGGTAAGGAGGGGGTGGGGGTAAGGGGGGAGAAATGACCCTAACACTTTATGCACATATGAATATAATAAAAAAAGAAAAAAAAAGTATTTCTTTCTAAAATGACATGAGCATCTACATCTAAAAGATCACCTTTAGTATAATCAACAACTGCTTCCAAGGCTGCTATCCTGATGTCCACAAAGTGACCATACTCAGCATAAGACTTAAAAAGAGCTGGATCACTCGGCACATGACCATTCTTCTGAAGCACTCTGATGGCTCTCAAGCAACTAGAAAAAGAAATAAAATTAAGTTAGCTACTTTCACTGAGGCAGTATGAATCAAATTTATTTTCTAGCTATTAAGAGATTTTATTCAGTACATTTAAAAACTGATGTAATTTGAATCCACATACAATTTTGTGACATTCTATTTTTATGGGATGAAAAAATTTCAAAATTATTATCTAAATCCCATTAAAAGAAAACAAATTTCAAAACTTGCTTGGAAACTCAATTTCATGTATCATTACATTTCTAACAGGAATACTCTTCGGCAAAAGGTATTTACCATAAAATGTAATAAAGAATTTTCTCCAAAATTTTTAATACAATTTACTCACTACATAAATGGAAGGTTAAAACTTAAAACTATTCATATTGTTTGAATATGAAAATTCAAAATTTAAAACAAAGGAAAAAAAGCACATTTTTTTGGTGCCAAAAATATAAGTAGACAATAAATGAACAGTATGCATCATCATTATTGAATGTATACGTATATGTATATGTATATGTATATGTATATGGTCTCCTGCCATATACAAAGTAGACAGAAGTGAAAAGTCACCTGAAAAGGTGGCTAACAGAGGGATATTTACATTGAATCTAATGAAGCAAAAAACAAGTTAGTCATCAAAAATGATGCTTATGAAGAATTTTTGGTGACATGAGAAAGTATTTATGATATAAACTTAATTAAGAAGCATATTCTCTAACTATAACAATTTATCTGTGGTTGAACAAATTTTTAATTTTCCCCTACTACTTTACTATGCTTTTCAATTTTTTCTAATAAGAATATATTTATTTTATAGTTATAAAAAGCAAAGAATTTAATGATACCTGACAGTGATAGTATGTCTATAACTTGGAAGAAGTTTTTCCATATTCAAAAACCTGGTGATTTCTTCAAGAATTAGTCGCACATCAGGATTTAAGTTATCCAAAGTTCTCACTTCATTATTCACACTAACTGCAGGCGTAACAGAGTTGGCCAGAGCATCAATCATTTCTGCACGATAATAGTTATCTGAAAACTAAACCAAAGCATAATTAACAGAAGGTAAAATGAACTCTTCTGATGAAAATCTAATAAAATACATATAATTTAAGAACATAATTTAGAATCTGAACAGAGTTGGCATGCACAAGGCCCTGGGTTTGATCACCATCACACCAAAAGGAAAAAGAGAAAGAGAAAACCTAATTTATGAAAACATAAGCAAGTTCTCTAGTAAACATTCAACTTAGTCCTTTGTATAGAGTCACACTTTGAAAACAAGAGTGAAAGAGATTATTCATTAATCGGTGATACATTAGTTTACTGAACAAATACTTACTATGTGTAAGGCACTCTTGTTGTCTAAAGAAGACTACAGTAACAAATCCTGCCATAACCCAAAGCTTCAAGTCAACTATCTAATTCTCTACTACATAAAGGTATAATAAACAGGATCTCCAAAGAGTTGATGAAATGGTCAACATAAAAAAGAGAAAAGGAAATAAACTCAGAACAAAAAGAAAAAAAACAACTTGGAAGAAACAGACAATGCTAAGTACAGAAAACCTCAGTAAAGGACAAAAAAAAAAAAAAAACTATTATTGATATGGTAAGACATAAAAAATGATAGTCTAAGAGCATAACATTATTTTAAAGAGAAAGAAATATGCACAGAATAAAGACCAAATTTAAACTGTGCAGAGCTTAGGAAACTGTCCCATACATCAAAGGATATGAATATCTTAACAGTACAGTGTAAAGAAAAATGAAGACGGCTGGATGGTCTATGAAAGTTTTTCTTATCAATAAAGGCTGATGAATATAGGAAGAGTTAACTATTAGTGGAATATACATGCAGACATATAGTAACCTTGTCTGGAAAAGTTTGCAAGTATGGGAGAGGAGTGGTTCTCAGAATTATTAAAACAGTATTTTGCAAATAATTTTAACGCATGAGACAGAATTGAGCCACTCACAGACAATACAGGATTAGCCTGGACCTTTCTATTTTCATCAATTCTTATAATTCTATGAAATAACTATGTAGAGGAAAAGTATTTAAAGTGAAATAATAGTACAGAAATAGTGTTATACCTAATGAAATTAATAAAAATAATAAAAAATAACTAAAAATTCAAAATTTAAAATGAAGGAAAAAAAGCACATTTTTTGGTGCCAAAAATATAAGTAGACAATAAATGAACAGTCTGCATCGTCATTATTGAAAAAGCAAGCTTGGATTAAAGTATCAAGTAGAGATGTTAAACTTCTTTAAAAACTTCCATTTGGTCAGGCACGGTACACACATCTTGTAACCCCAGCATTCAGGAGGCAGAGGTAGAAGGATCATGAGTTCTAGGACAAACTGGGCTATATAGCAGAGCCTATCTCAAAAAACAAAACAATAAAAACATTTTGAGGCCCTGGGTGTGATCCCCAACAGTGGGGGAAGAAAAAGGATCATTTAGCTGCAAAATTAAGTAGCATAATTGTGTAATAAGCAGATTATATTTTTTATCAAATAGCATTGGGCTAAAGCTATTCTTATCAAATATAACAGAAGTACATTTATTTATATAAAAAGATATATATAGATATATATATGAAAGGTCTCAAGCTTAAAGTTGACATACTTTCAATAATTTCCTAAATTCTAAACCAATTCCTTATTCTTTCAATGCTAGATTTATTTTTTCCAGCTCTTTCTCTCCATTTTAACTCCCTACTGTCTCCACTGAGATTTCTTAGATTTCCTCCTCCTGTAACAGCCTCCCCCAGCAACTGGGACTACAGGCTTACACCACTGTGCCCAGCTTCTGTACTTTAACAGATGCTATAAAATGTACTACGTATTCTTCCCTCTTCTGTCCTTTCATTACATGAAATTACAGCTCCCTCTACATTCTTCCTTCCTGCAGAAGCTTACTCTGGTTTCCCAAACCTCCATGTGGGTTAGTCCCTCAAGCACTTCTTCAGCAGACTGAGTAATCAACTACCATAATACTAAGCCCATCTAATTAAGATATTGCTCATTTGTGTCTTTCTCTATAGGTTAAGTACTAGAAAGATAAGTTATTCATCTTGGTATCATCAAAACCTAAACCTTGTATTAATTTCCAATTAATAAGTGAACACTAGGTATTTAGTCCAGAGAAAAGATTAGCCAAGAGGTGTCTACTATTTTCTACTTTTGTTTATTATGACTTTGAATATATGTAAGGTTAACTAAATATAAAATTTACTCTGGAAGTAAAACCCCCAAAATATCAGGCAACAGTCTAAAGAAAAGAGCAGTAATTGTATTTCATGGGTATATTTGAGTGTTTCCTAAGCAGATCACACAGTTAAAAGAGAAGTAATTAGAAAAATTTTAATGTGAACCTGAAATTAAGAACTGTGAAAGGAACTAATGAGAAACATACCCAGTTACACAGTACATTATACAAAACTTCCCTGGGAACTAGACAGTCATTTAAGTATTGATCAAAATAAAATATTAGATGCTCAGGAGTAGTGGTTCACACCTGCAATGCCAACACTAGGAAAGCTGAAGCAGGAGACTGTGAGTTTAAGGCCAGTCGGGGCTATGTAGCAAGACCCTATCTCAAAAAAATACTTTAAAACAAACAAACAAGCTGGCAGAGTTGCTCAAGTGGTAGAGCGCCTACTTAGCAAGCATGAGACCTTGAGTTCAAACCCCAGTACAGAAGAACAAACAAACCAGGGCCAGGGACATAGCTCAGTATGCTTGCCGAGCTTAGCAATTTCACCTACTGTTCTATTCTAATTTAGTGCTAAAGTATATAAAAATCTGAACCACTTAATCAAAACAATAATGAAATAAAAATAATCATCTGTTTTCTAAAAATGGGTCTGCCTACATGAGTGGACCCATGGAAAAAGGTAACGTAAATGTCCCTACTATAGTTTGTTCTGGGAGAGACTGATGGTAGTAGAGACTATCAGAAATAAAGACAAGAGATTCACAAAAATCAAGAAAAGGTGAATGGGCTATAATGTTTTCTTTTAAAGCACTAATTTTTTAAGAAGACTTTTAAGTTTAGGTCATTTGAATATTACTTAGGGGCAAAAGTAATACTGATTTTCATTAAAAATCATCTGTTTTTAAAAAATGCCCTTGGGTTTTTTCTTTTCTAGAATTGTAATATTTTAATTAAATGATTGATGAATGACATATCCTACTAGTTACATGTATCTTTGTATGTGCTCTTCCTTCAATCTGCAATGACTTTCTTAGACTAATCCTACATGTAAACAAAGAAAATCTTATTAATCTTTTATTTACCTTATTTATTTTGTTTGACATTCACTACTTCTACACAAAACTTCTCTGTACCTTTCTCTCTACATTCTTGAAATAGTTTCTTAAAATCTACCAGCTAGCAAAAACACTATGTCTTTCTTATTATTGCTTATTTCTACTCTTCAATGGGACTGGAGAAAAGCACAGAACAGGTTCTACCTTGTAAGTGAGTGGGGGAATGGGGGGGCGGGGATGGACGACACACAGTGGGGAGTAATGACCTAAACAATGTATGCACATGTGAATGTGAATAAATGAATAAAAAAAAAAATAAAGATGGGGGTGGCCAGTGGTCAGGTTCAGGGAGAAGACACGATATAACATCCAGTCACAAACTAGTTTCAACATACAACAGGAGGACCTTAGTCAAGCAGAGCCCAATGTCATCTCCTAGTTTCAGCCATTCCTTGGCTTAGCTTTTCTCACTAAGCCCCTCCATGCAGGAAGCTTTGTTATCCTTTCAATAAATTTTGGACTTGCTTAAAATAGAAATAGTATGTGACCGTGCTAAAAAAAAAAACAAAACAAACAAACAAAAAAACTACCTTGAAAATCTCATATACCTGCAGTTTAGCAGTTGCTATAAATGACTGTTGTTTACTTGTCTGATTTCTCTATTAGCTATGTTCTTGAGAGACCATAACCAGACTACAACAGCAGTTGCTCAATAAATGTTTCATGAATAAAGTTTCTTAAGACATCAATCACTTTTTCTTTCTATTTAAAATTGTTCAATACTTGTTACAGCATATATACTAAAAAACATCTGCTCACTGTTAACTGAAAAAAAGTAGGATGAAGTAATTTTTGGATATCCTATATCTATTTGCTAAATAAATGAATAAAAACATACAATGGTATAAAAAAAGTCAAATTCACCAATAAACAAATTAATTCCAGGCTGAACCACTTACGAAAAGAAATCATTTTGTAAAAAAAAAAAAGGGGGCAGAGGGGCTAGAAATGTAGCTCAGTAGTAGAGGGCTTGCCTAGCATGCTCAAGGCCCTAGGTTTAATTCCCAGTACTGCTACAAACAAACACAAATTTCAAAAGCCAATGGTGATGGCACATACCTATAATCCCAGCACTCAGGAGGCTGAGGTAGGAAAAAACCAAGTTCTAGGTAAGCCTGGGCTACACAGTAAGACTCTCAAAAAACGAAGGATTGGGACTTCCAGGGTAAGATACTAGACTAGAGCTTCCTCTGTGTGATTCTGTGAACTCCAACAATCAGGGCAACAATGGACTGACTGCATTTTGAACAGAGAAAGAGAGGAAGAGTATCAGGAATCATGACAGAGGTGACGAGACAGCTAAAAAACATAAAGAAACAGAAAGGTAAGAAAAAAGTAGCAAACAGCCTGCAGTTCCAACCCCAGCTCCCTGGGGAGACAAGAACCTGAAGCCACAATCACAAGGTAAGCCGTGCATCCCTGGTAAAAGAGACTGGCAGACCTAGTAGCAGGATAAGCCCACATTTCTCTCAAACCTTAAATCCAGTGTGGGGATTTAGTGTGATGGCAACTCCTATGTGGCAGGGCAGAATTAGGGAAGAAATTAATTTTTCTGCTCTCCATATCTTAGAGAGCTATAGCCAGGCACCAACTTGAGAGGGGATTCTATTAAAACTGGGCTACTCTGAAAGCGAGGATCAATCATAAGTCAGGGAAGCTGGGGACACGCTCCCACAGTGTCTGGGTGGAAGAGAGCCATCATGAGAGGCAGTCATGGAGAGAGGGAGGGTAGTAAACTGACCCATTGAGAAGCTTAGGCAACAGGGATCTTAGGCTATGAAGAGCACAGTGGTTGGTGGCACCCCCCTCTGTGGTAAGAAGCAACCTCATAGCTTGTGACCACAGCAGAGACAAGGAGCTTCCCGTCCATGGCAAATAAACTGCATGGACTCCAGTGCTGTCTCCCTGCTTCATGTAGTTTGTTGCTGGGCAGGAATGGCAGTGTTGAGCCTAGGTATACCAGATCGCTCAGTGTCCTCAGCTTCCTTCTTCCTGTAGGGTGGTTAACTACTGAGCAGGGTCTAATAGTGCTGTGACCAGCAGGCAGAGGGCCGAGTCCCTCAGTTCTACCCTCTCTCCCTCTCTCCTCCAGTGCAGATCTCAGTGCTGTTTGCTACTCCCACTTTTTGACCCACTCAGGGAGACACCCCTAAGCTTGGACATTTGCAGCCCCTGGATGAATAAAATAGGGAGGGGGGCTGTGGAGTGACTGGGAACCTTCGGAGGCCACAGCCCAAAAGGACATGGAGATAGGAACAGCTCTGGGTACTCAAAGGGAAGCTTCTAAATCAAACATAGCTCCAAGCTAACAACTGACTCTTGACTGGCCTGGTCTTTGTAACCCGCATACAGCACCAACTTCACAAATGTTGTTACTATTATGGTGGTTTGTTTGCTCTTCTCTGAGTGGTATTAGGGATTGAGCCCTCAAAAGAAAGCTAAGACCCCCCCCCTAAAAAAAAACCCCTTCAGAGTTAAACTGTACCACAGATCAAATAGACTGAATCTACAGAATATTCCATTCCATCTACAGAATGCACATTCTTCCCAGCAACCCACGGAACTGATTCCAAAATAAATCACATTTGGGACCATTAAGTAATTCTTAAAACAACAACAACAACAACAATAACAAAACCCTGAAATCATTTCTTGTATTTTATCAAACTATAATGAAGTAAAATTAGAAATAAAAAGAAAGTGCAGAGACTACAAACACATGGACATTGAAAAATACACTTTTGAATGACCAGTAGATCACTGAAGAAATTAACAGAGGAAGTTAAAAAATTCCTAGAATCAAATAAAAATACAACCTACCAAAAACTTAGGGAAACAACAAAGGCAGTATTAAGAGGGAAGTTAACAGCTATAAGTACCTACATTAAAAAGCAAAGAGCTCTCTGGGCAGAATGGCTCAAGTGGTAACGCACCTGCCTAGGAAGCATGAGGCCGAGTTCAAAATCCAGTTACCACTCCCTACCCCCCAAAAGCAAAGAGCTCTTAAATAAATAACTTAATGATACACTTCAAGGGTTCAGAAAAAAAGAAGAAAAAGCCAAACCCAGTATGAGTACATAAAAAAAGTAATAGTAAAGGCCATGGCAAAAATTAATGACTAAATGAGACTGAAAGAACACAAAGTACCAATGAACAAAAAGTTGGTTCTGTGAAAACAAACAAGATTGACAAACCCTTAGACAAACTAAGCAAAAGTGAGAGAAAAGAACCAAGTTAATAAAATCAGAAGTGAAAAGGCGGATATTATAACAAATATCACTGAAATCCAGAGGATCATTATGGAATATTTTGAAAATGTGTAATCCAAAAAATTGTAAAATGTAAACGAAATGGATAAATCTCTAGATACATATGACCTACCAAAATTGAACCAAGATAATATAAACAAAAAACAGACCAAACACCAAGAATGAGATTGAAGCAGTAACAAGGAATCTCTCAATAAAGGGAAGTCTAGGACTGGATATACAAATTGCTGAATTTTACCAGACCTATGAAGAGCTGAAGCAGTAATAAGGAATTTCCCAACAAAGAAAAGCCCAGGACTGGACAAATACACTGCTGAATTGTACCAGACCTTTAAAGAACTAACAGCAATACTTCACAAACTATTCCATAAAAAAGAAAGAGAAAAAAAATGCATCTAAACTCATTCTGTGAAAAATTAGCCCGATACAAAAACAGGATAAAGATACAACCAAAAAGTAAAACTATACACCAATTTCCCTGGTGGATAAAGATGCAAAAATTGTCAATAAAATATCTGAAAACTGAATTAAACAACACACTAACAAGATCAGATAATAAGGTCAAGATGGTTCATTCCAGGGATGCAAGGATGGTAACACATGCAAATCAATAAACATACTACAGCAAACAGAATCAAAGACAAAAATTATATGATCATCTCAAAACAAATAACAACAAAAAACACAAAGGAATAACCTAACCAAGGAGGCAAAAGACCTCTAAAATGAAAACTATGAAACACTGAAGAAAGAAACTGAAGACACTAGAAGATGGTTCATGAACTGGCAGAATTAATATTGTGAAAATAACTATATTACCAGAAGCAATCTACATATGCAATGAAATTCCCATCAAAATTTCAATGACATTCTTCACAGCCATAGAAAAATCAATCTTAAAATTCATATGGCAACACAAAAGACCCTGAATAGCAAAAGCCAGGCTAAGCAAAATAAATCAATGCTGGAGGTATCACAATTCTTTATTTCAAATTATACAACAGAGCCTCAGTACATTGGACAAAGACCCCTTTAGCAAATGGTGCTGGGAAAACTGGAAAGCCATATGTAGAAGACTGAATGTAGATTCTTATCTCTCACCTTGTAAAGTATCAATTCAAAATGGGTCAAAGATGTTAATGTAAAAACTGAAATTTTAAAATTACTATAGGAAAACCCTTCAACCTATAGGCATAGGCAATGACTTTCTGAACAGAGCCCCAACAGCTCAGGACTTAAGAGAAAGAATTGACCAATGGGATTGTATCAAATTAAAAAAGTTTCTTCTATACAGCAAAGAAAACAATTACCAAAGTGAAGAGACAGCCTACAGAATGAGAGAAAAATCTTTGCTATATATCCATCTGACAGAGAATCAATATTCAGAATATACAGAGAACTCAAAAAACATAATGTCAAAAGAATAAAAAAATCTAATCAATAAATGGGCAAATGAACTGAACACAGTTCTTGAAGAAATACAAGTGGTTAATAAATATCAGTGAAAAAAACTCAACATCTTTAGCCATCAGGGAAATGCCAATCTAATCTACATTGAGATTCCATCTTACCCCAGTCAGAATGGCCAACATCAAGAAAACAACCTAGCTACTTTGTAGGTGAAGATCAGGAGGATCGAGGTTCAAGACCAGTCCAGGCAAAAAGTCCATGAGACCCCTTAATTTCACCAACGGGATGGTAGCGTACCTGATATCAACTTTAGGGAAGCACAAATAGGAAGATTTGGCCTAGACCAATCTAGGCATAAAGTGAGAACCTATCTCAAAAATAACCAACGTAAAAAGGGCTCAAGTAAAGAGAGTCTGCTTAGCAAGTACAAGGCCTGAGTTCAACTCCCAGTACTACAAGGAAAAAAAGACAAGATAACACACACATACACACACACACACACACACACACACACGCTGGCAAGGATTTCAGGAGAAAAAGAAGGAACCCTTATATGCTGTTGGTGGGATTGTACATTAGTCCAGGTTCTAAGGAAATCAGTATACAAGTTCATTAAAAAAAGTAAAAATCAAAACTACTGTATTCCTGGGTGTATACCCAAAGGAATCTAAGTCAGCACACAATTGGAGATACCTACACATCTGTGTTTATTGCAGCACTAATCATAATAGTCAAGTTATGGAATCATCTTATGTGTCCACAAAAAGATCAAAGGATAATGAAAATACAGTACATAAACAAAATGGAGCTTTTCGTAAAGAACAAAATTATGTCATTTGCAAAAAATGGATGGAATTTGAGCATTATGTTAAGTAAAATAAGCCAGATTCAGACAAATATTGAATATTTTTCTCTTCTGCAGAATCTAGATTTAAAAAATGAAAAAGACATGAAAGTACAAGGAGCATTATTTGGAAGAGGAAGGGGACTAGTAAGGTGAGGGAAGAGAGGTAATGGGGAGATGAGCATGATCAAAGTACATTATACATGTATGAGACTGTCATGATGAAAGGCATTAAACAGGTACCAAAATAAAATAAAACAAAGAACATCAAAAACACTAAGGCTGGGGATGTTGCTCAACAGTACAGCACTTGCCTAATTTGCACAAGGCCCTGGGTTTGATCACAAAAGGGCAAAAAAAAAAAAAAAAAAAGTATAAAAATAAAGCTGGTAC